ACCAGTCTCCCCACTCCGCCTGCACGAACCCCCCACAGCTCAAAGGCATGGAGGGGTGCGAGAGGCTCTATGCTTAGAGACCCCAAACCCCTGCGTGACCCCTGTCTACTGCCATCTCTCCAGAAGCTGGCAGCCTGAAACTTCCCTCTTTTTTTCACTAGGCTCCATGGCTGGAGGAAAATGGAGCCATATAACACAATGGTTAGGGACACGGGCTTTGGGGTCAGAAAGTCCTGGATCTGAGTTTAAATTCTACCTCTTACCAGCAAAGTCTGGAACAAGTCCCCTAACCTGTCTAAGGTCTATTTCTGCATCTAGAAGGTGGGAGTAGAAATAGGCCCTACCTGAGGCCTGCTGAGATGACCTGAGACGGTGTGTGTGAAGAGGGCTCGCCACTGGCCAGCAGTGGTACACCTCATAAACATGAGCTGCGTGTGTGTGTGTGTGTGTGTGTGTGTGTGTGTGTGTGTGTGTGTCTGCTTGCTGAGCTCCACGTTCTCTCAGTGGGCTGCTTTTTAGACTCACAAGCCGTGCTGGGCTGCCGGGCGGGAGAGGGCAGCAGAGGCCACACTGAGATGCCTTCCTGAGGTTTTCTCAGGAGCCCAGAGAATGCTAGAGAAGAGACTCCAAACTTAAGCTCTCACCAGGACCACTTGGAAATCTGTGAGGACTGTGGATTCCTGAGAATCCCGTCCAGAGATTCTAATCCAGCGGCTCTAGGTGCTCTGCCCTACTCCAAAATCTGCTATTTGAGCAGGCTTCCCCTCCACCCCCCAAATATTTCCGATGAGGGCGATTCTGGGCCACACTCTGAGAACCACCATCAGAAGTGACGCCATGGGGCTTCCAGCCTGGAGGTTAGGAGATCCTGGAGACAAGTCCATGTTGGAGCCCCAGACCTAACCTCACTGTCAAAATTCCATCTCTTGAGCCATATGGGGTGTTACCCTTTTCCCTGGGAAGGGAGGGAGCATCCAAGTGGGTCCTGCCAGCAGATGGGGAGTTCAGTGATTCCCAAACTGGGCGCTCATTGGAAATCCCTGAGCAGGAGGCCTTGTAAAATATGGATTCTTGCACCTCATCTGCCACCCACGCCACCTGCTCACACCTATATACCACCAGACGTCTCAGGGAGGAGGGTGAAATATGTGTGGGTCTCAGGGCCACTTCCGTAGGTGTTATTGCTCCCCCCCCCCCACCATAGGTCAGGGAGAACAGTGTTATTAGAGATGAGAAGACCCGGGCTCAGAGCTGACTTGGGTGGTGGTGGTCAGGTCCTGGCAAAGCCAGGACTCTAGCCCCATCTCTCCAGCACCTATGGAGAGCTGCCTGCTACAGGGCAGCTGGCAGGTGGGGAGCCAGGCTTTCTTGCACCAGCTCCCTGCCTCCTTTACAGTCACCAGTGTTCTAGTCCCAAAGGGCAAAAAAGACCTGTGGTGCACAGTGGACCTCTGAGGGCCAGGCACTCTCCCATGGGAAGTGCACTCTCTGCGTGCCCTCCATCTGCCTGAGTTTCACGCGGGTCTGGGCCCTGGGCGGGGAGCTCTAGGCCCTGAGGGCCTCCTGGACTTCAGTTCCTGCTCTCTCAGAGCCGGAGAGCCTGTGCCCAGGCATTTCTGCTGCCAGGGGTGCAATGGGCGAGCGGCTGAGGCCCCTGTTCCCCGCGGGGCGTCGGTACTGCGGGGAGAACCGCGACATCTTCGGGATATGTGATCCATGAACAGAAACCCTGTCGCACACGTACATGCCACTTTTCCGCCTCTGGGCCTTGTATTATTTGGGGGATTACATATATTTAGGGAGTTTAATGGACTGCATTATTCCAAGACAAATCTCCTAAAGTTATGCGCAGAAATTTTGAATGAATTCTATGGAGGATGCCCTTATGCTAGAACGATTTCCATTTATGCACCTAGGGCGAGCGGCTTAGCACCAGACTCCAAAGGGCCTTTACATTTTTACCTCGTAACTTGCACGTGATGGGCACGCTTTCATCGCGGCACGGGGCGGTGGGAGCTTCGCTCGGTGGCAGCGTCGCTCGGCGGCCCCTGTACGAGCCCGGACGCAAATGGGCCCTGGGAAAGACAAACCCAAGCGAGTTCGGTCTCCGCACAGCGAGCAGCAGCAGCCGCGGCGGCAGTGTGAAATATCGGACGTGGGTGTGTAGGCAATTTTGCCTGAGAAATCTGGCCCTTTCAGCTTTGCCTGGAGCCAAGCTGTCCTCGTGGGGAAGGCTGAACTTTTCTATCATCCCCAGACCCCATGTCAAGCCCGGAGAAAGTGGCCAGGCCCATCCCAAGGCTCCGCGGGCTGGTTTTCTGAGCCCTGAACCTGGGTGCGGTGGAAGATCCCGCTGAAACGCAGGCGCCACCGGGCAAAAGAACAGGAAGCCGGGGTTCGCCGCCGCCCCGGACTCTGGTACAGCAGCGGCGCCAAAGCCACGCACGACCCGGGCGCACTGAGGCCTCTGGCGCGCCAAGGGGCCAAGCGCGTGGGCAAAGGGGCTGGAGACGCTGCAGAAGACCCGGGAGCGCGCCGGCTGGGCTGGCATTGAGTTTTTCCTCATCAGCCCGCATTTCCCCGGAGCCTCCGACCTAATTGGGGAGCAGTCTGGGACGGAGGGAGGAGGAGGGCCGCTGCTCCCTGCGGAGGTTGCCTGGGTGAGAAGAACGCGCGCGATATTCCCGCGCTGGAGGCTTTCTCTAGCGGTGTTTTCCTGGGCACCGGTGAGAGGCAGGGGATGTGGAGAGGTGGCCTCGCCTAGAGAGGACACAGTACCTTCTCCGTCCGCTCAGAACCTACTCTCGGAGCGCAGCGTGCTGCGCCCAGGAGCCGCGGCCCTGAAGCTTTCGCCCGCCCGCCCAAGACCCCAGGGACGGAGTCACTGGTCTTTTCCTGTTCCCTTTATCTCAGTTTTATAGACAGCTGTTAGTTTGGGGCATTAATTGCCCTGGAGAGTTTATTGATAATTTTGATGTAACAGAGCACCGGAGAAATTACCCTCACGTCCAAAACGTCAAATTTGAGAAGAAACAGTTTCAGAGAAACTGCGGTGGGTCCTGAACTGCCCGCAACAACACTGCGACTTTATTGTGTTTGTTTTCCCAAATATCGAGAATGGGAATAGAAAGACGGTGATCAGCAGGAGACACAGGCTTTTAAAAATATTTTTCGCTTCTAATGATTTAGGGGGAAATGTTACCTATCACCTTGCTCTCCCACCAACCACCCTTTTTGGCATAAATTTTAATTGCTTCTGGATTGGGGAAAACCAAGTGTAGGGCACCCCCCCCAATAAACTACAGAAAACTTAGAGTTCTTTCATGATTTATAACAGCTAGAATATTGGAACGGTAAAGTCTGAAAGTAAAACTCAAACTGGTCTTGGAGTGACAAAAAAGTAAAAATGTAATATATATATATGTATATATGTATATTTATCTATATACATACATACATATATATACATATGTGTGTGTGTGTGTGTGTGTATATATATATATATATATATAGAGAGAGAGAGAGAGAGAGAGAGAGAGAGAGAGAGAGAGAGAGAGAGAGAGAGAGAGAGAGAGAGAGAGAGAATATCTTCCCTGGGAGAAGGAAGATTATAGTTCTTTAAACATTCAATTATTTCTTTAAAAAGAGAAACGACAGAGGGGCAGAGGGCTCTTCTTAAAAAACAGAAGCCAAGAAAAATAGTTATTCATGTCCAGATTTCACTCCAATGTGAAATGAAGAGTGAAAAGAGGATTAGCTATAAAATAAAAAAAAAAAGGAAAAGGAAGTATTCAGAATCACCCATATTTTAAATACAAAAAAAAAAGACTAACTATTCCAAGCCAGTTTCTGTCCGCATTTGGAGGTTTGGAAGATATGCTGCAATCCCAATAAAATGCTCATGCGATTTTATTTCTAGTTGATACAATGTTAAGGCCATGTACAAATGTTATACATTTTTATTTTTGTTCTTTTTTTTTTAGGAAAAAATACACAAAAGGCAAAACATCCTCAAATTGTCATTTTATACAGTGCAGAAGGAAATTTAAAATACGTGTCACAAACGCTGCACCCCAGCAGCCAAAATACTAGAAAAAAAGGCGGGGTAGTCCTTCATTTTATATATATTTATATAAAACATATGGAAATTTGTTTTTACACAAATCGGACTTTGTTTCAAATTTACAATGGATAGCTAAAAAAAAAA